CCTCTACCAGAACTGCTAAATAGGAACATTCTCTTCCATAACCCTAATGCAACGCAAGAAAGCAGACAGACTATTCCTTTGGCTCTCATAATAATATTAGAAAATTAACATTGATTTAATACTATTACCTGCACACTTTATTCACGTTTCTCCCACTTGTGCTAATAATGCCCTTTATCAAGAAAACTGTGTAGTACATTCAGTTGTTATGTCTCCTTAGTCTCCTGCAATCTGGAATAGTTTCTTTGTCTATCTTTTTTTTTATAGAATTACATTTTTCTTTTTTTTTTTTTTTTTTTGGTGCAGGGGATCAAACTCGGGACCTTGCACTTTCAAGGCAGGTGATGGAACCACTGAGCTAAATCCCCAGCCCAGCATTACATTTTTTAAACAAGACAGACCAGCTGGTTTACAGAATGTCCCTCATGTTTCAGTGGGGTGTAAGCAATTTGGGCAGGAAAATCCCAGAAGGGATAATGACTTCCCAGTGTACCCTGTCAGGAGCTCTAATTGATTAGTCTCATTCTGGCTACATTACATTGATCACCTGGTGAAGAGTCAGTGTACCAGGTGTCTCTACCCTAAAGATACCATTTCATCCTTCAGCATGTTGGATAGGGGTGTGAGAAGACACTTTGAGGCCACCTATCCTGTTCTCAAACTCTCGCTCATTGGCCCCAGTATCCACTATAATTCTTTTTTGAATCAATTATTATGATGAGAAAAGTCATATGATGATTTTTCTAGCTCTCTTGTCCCTTGTGTGTCTGTTAGCAGGATTTCTACTTGTAAGGCAGAGCAGGCCTTTCCATTATTTATCTCATTGTAGACCCATGAATCCTTGTTACCTTTGAGGGACTGTAATCTTTTCTATTAGTAGTGTTCATTTTGGTATTCTAATGGTTCCAGACATGGCCAGTAAGAACCCCTCCAGTCCAGCTTCTGTGTTAAGTACATTTTTGTCTGTTCCTGTCACTCTTCACAATAATCACTGTTTAAAGGCAGCTTTTTCTGGGTGGATCGAACCCTTTCCTCTATTCCCTGCACTTCCTGATGAACACTGTCCATTTCTCTGCCTGATTAGAAAACTTTTGCCTCTTCGTAGTCTTCCTCCTTCCCCCACATCCCTCATTGTGAAACAAGGAGACTCTACCAGTAACTGATGAGCATTAGCATGGGCATCTTCAAACACGGAATTATTTAATTCAACACAAAACTCAGGACAGTCAACCCCCCACACAGAGTCAACTCCCAACACAGGAGCAGGTGGCACGAGCAGTGGAGAGACACAGCCACCCTAATGGTATTTGTTTTTGCCCTGTGTAAACCAAGTGATGGTTGTGAAGGATTTGCCCTTTGCTTCCCTGTTGCTTTTTTATATTCCAAACAGAAAGCAAATTTTGATTCTGCTTAGCAATAAAGGGCACACAACAATCGAGTTCTTAACTTTAAGCTAGCTGTTGCCAAAAGGGAAGCAGAGGAGAGCAGGTAAACTGCTCCGTTGGGACTCAGTCTTATATTTTTTCTACTTTCATGTGACCATGCTGGATGAGGAGTATTTCCTTTCTGCCCCTGGACAGAAGAGAAGTCCTTGCTAAAAGTACTATGTGGGTATGTGGTGACTGAAAAGGAAAGTGAATTGAATTGGATCTACCACATCACATGAGGAAGAATAGGTGCAGATATGGACATGCAGGGACTGGGACTGGTTGCCTTAGTCCCTCCCTGCCCACCAGCAGGTTATACAACCTTGGACAGTAGAGCTGTCTAAAGAATGTTGCTGGAGAGGAAAACACAGGGTGATGAGAGGGCAGAACCTGGAATCAGGAAGAGTCTGCCTCCACTGAGCTCTATACGGTACAGAAGCATGGCCATCCGGTAAGGACGGGGTCTACAGGAAACCCATATGGTGAGCCTGAAAGGGAAGTTGGGTGTGTGTTGGGGACCAAGCTAGGAAGCAGATCCTGAAAGGGGAAAGACTATGAAAAGCCTGGAACGGCATGACTCTGAAGAGCAGTATAGATCCTGTGCTTTTCAAGGGAGGAAGGGGAGACTGAAAGCCACCTATGTCTAAGAAGCAGGGAATGATGATGTGGGAGTTGGGCTCTTAAATTCCCGCAGTCAGATAGGCTCTGTGCCATCGGCCCCAGCAGCACGATGTTGGAAATAGGGCCTCCAGCTTCAGCTTGGATAGGGGTCCTCAGGCCCAGCCTCTGGGAATCCAGGTTATCAATCACGATGTACCTCCTTCCCTTCCTTCTCCCCGTCTCTTCCTCCCCTCCTTTCTTCATTCCTTCCCCTTCCTTCTTTTCTTAACTTTCTTCCCTCCTCCTTTCCTTCTTCCTCCCATTTTTCTTCTTTCCTTCCCCACTTACTGCTCTTGAACTCAGCACCATAAAGCTGACCTGAAATTTTTCAATGATTAATATTTTACAATGGCTACAATTACATTATCACAATCCACAATCTGCCCTCTTTGTTTCTCACACACTTCTGAGCCCCTTTCTTCTTTTCTTGAACTTTTTCTTTAATACCTCCGCTACTGCTTGCTTTCCTTAGAAGAGTCCTAGATGAGCAAAGGCATTGCCAGCAGGGAAAGGGTAAGGATCTCAGAGCCAGTGCAGAAGAAGGAGAGGATGAGACAGGGGGAGAGGAGTTGAAGCTGAGGAAGAGGTGCCCATGGTCCATGTTATCTATCCTGTTTGCCCATCTGACCTATGAGTTAGCAGCAGAACATGGGGGCATAAGTGGGGAGCTGGGGCTGGGAATAAAATCCTGGGCTTTGAAAACTGGATCATTTAACTGAGAGTACTTCAAGTCTCTCAGTAATTTCTGTCTCTGTGGAACTGATGTTGTGCCTGGAGCTTATGTCTTGTAGATGTGTCAGAGTTGATAGAGATATGAAACTTGCCCCTTACTCCAGAACCGAAGACTCTTGGGCATTGTTGATACTGTGATTAGTGTTATTAGTCATACCAATTAGACTGTATCTTTCATAAGTGCAAGGTGTGCATCTTTTTGAAAAAAATTTAATATGCTGTATTTAGCAATGCTAGATAATAAGTGATTTATGCTTACTCTGAATATTAACTTGGGTGCATCCCAACAATGCTATCAGATAGGTATATTGTTTATCCCTGTGTAGAGATGAAACAGCTGAGACCCAACCAGGGATTTCTCTTCCAGCACCTACTCATAACTCTTAGGTGACATGGTCACCATATGAGAAATGTCTTGATTGGTCACAGGTTCCCCCAAAGGCTTACAGGTCCTGTCCTCATTTTTAAGCAGTAGCCATTAGAAAATCCATTTGCTCCACAGGTATCTGTTACATGTCCCCAGTGCAGGCCCTGTCCCCAGAGCTGAGACTCTGCTATAAGAAAGGCCCTGCCTCACAGCACTCCCTTCCTGGTGTACAGAGTGGATCAGATTCAAACCTGTGATTAAATGCCCTGTAGTAGTAACACCTTCTAGGGAGGAAAAGGAAGGACCATCAGGAGAGGAAGGTGACAAATGATGTTCGAATGACACAATGGACAATCTACTTATTTGTTAGTCTTCCCAGGAAGAGTTAAACAGAGGATTTGGTGCCCAAGAATGGAGTGACTTGTAAATGTGTTTATTCCCTGTACTGCTAGAAGAAATTATTACAGATTTGGGAGTTTAAAGCAACTGAAGTAATTTTCTCAAGGGCCTAGGGGACGGAAGTCTTGAAATCGGTGTCACTGTGCTGAAATAAAGGTGATACCAGGGCCATGGTCCTTCTTAAGTTCTAGGGGAGAATCCGTTCCTTGCTTCTTCTTTGGCTTGTGATCTACTTGCTCTAATCTTTGCCTGAGAGATGACATTGCCACCTCCTCTGCAGTCTGTGACCAAGGCCCCATCTCATAAGCACACATGGAATTGTACTCCGGGTTTACCTGATAATTCAAGCAAATCTCTCTATCTTAAGATTCTTAACTTAAACGCAGCTTCACATCTGAGAAGACTTTGTTATTCCTTGTTAGGTAATATTCACAGAGTCAGAGATTAGGGCAGAGATCTCTTTTAGGGGTCTGTTTTTCAGCTTTTAACAAGTTATTTGCGGATTTTATTTTTCAATGTAGTAAATATAGTCCCTTGTAACCAACTAACCAATCTATTACCCTTAAGTGCCTAGTGTTCCATTTTTGGAACACCCATAACAATAGAACATAAGAAAACTTTCTCTTCAAATTCTTGTTCCTTGAATTTTTCTAGGTAATATATATATGAATTTCATGTAAAGACTCAAAAATTGCAATCTTTAGTGTAATGGTTTAATTTTTTTATTTTAAGGAAGAAACTTCATTGAAAATAATATCAAATATACAAGAAGAACAGTCATTTACATAAGACTACATAATTAATATTACATAATTACAAATTTGAACTGAGGATTTATTAGCAAGGAAAAAAGAACAAATCTTTTCAGCCCTGGTTTTTTTAAGTTAATTTCCTATTAGAATAAAAGTGATACCAAGTATCTGCTCTGTAGACCAAAAGAAAAATGACAGCACTTAAGCAAGTGTCATTTTTAAAGGATCCTTATTCACTAAAAAATTAAAATATGCAAAAATTATAACTACCACCATATTACAAATACACATCCTTCACCCAGACACTACATGCATGAAATGGAAAAAAAATTATATTAACAAGAAAAAAGAATCTACTTACTTACGTAATATTGCTTAGAGAGTACATACAGAAATACCACATTTCAATGCTTCTTTGCAAAAGTAGAATTCAAATGCACATAGATCTACATTAAAAATGACCCAGTGAGTGCAGTGGCACTTACCAATAATCCCAGAACTCTAAGAGGCTGAGGTGGGAGGATTGCAATTTTGAGCCCAGCCTGGGCAACTTAGAAAGATTCTGCCTCAAAATACAAAATAAAAAAGGTTTGGATATGTAATTCAGTGTAAAGGCCCTTGGGTCCAATCCCCAGTACGCCCCCCCCACACACACACACAGGCACACACACACAACCAGTAATAAACATAATGTATTTATAACTTTCATTGTAAGTTTTTCAATGCCTTTGATTAGAATAGAGAGGACAGAAGATAGTCCCATATTTTGACATTTATTGGTATCTTTCTATCTATGCATTTGCTTTTATGCTCAAAATGTTCTGTGAGAAAAGAAAAGTTTTCCATCCTCCCTGTACAGGATTCTTCTCCAGTATGCATACTATCATGAATCTGAAAGGAATTGAGATGTTTCAAGGCTTTCTCAAATTCCTTCTTTTCATAGGGCTTCCCTCCAGTATAAGTTATTTCTTGTATTTGAAACTGAGCAAAAGTAGAGAAGGCTTTACCATACTATGTCATAATGCTTATGTCAGTGAATTCTTTTTTATTCAGAATTGAACTGGCACTATAAAGTCCCATCTCACATAACTCACATTCACACGGGTTAGTGCCAGTGTGTAACCACATTTGTTTTAATTCTTATAAGAGAAGTGCTTTCCCATATTTCCTATAATTACAGGATTCCTTTCCACTTCCAATTCCTGCCTGCTTTAAAAACAAACTGGCAGAATCAATAGCTTCTCCTCATACCTAGCATTCATAATCTTCAACTAAATCCAAGAGGAGTAAAGTCATTCCATGTTGCCTGCTTTTATTAATAGGGTTCAACAACAGTGAGCCTTTCCTGCATGTGAATGTAATTGAAATAATACGTTTTATTATATTGCCATTCATTTTATTTCTTTCCAGGGTCTGTTATTCCATGTATTTGAAAGGAATTAAGAGCATGAAAGTAGTCTTCACATACTAGATACTTGTAAGGCCTGTGTCTAGTGTGCATTGTCAAACATATTTGAAAGTTTAGACCAATTAAAATTTCTTCGTATTTCTTTCACTAGTAGAACTTATTTCAGGAATGGGCCATTGTGTTTACCTAAAGAAAGAGCCAGGAAAGCTTTCTTACATTCCTCTCATCCATAGGAGTTCTCCCCATCAATTCCTGTGCTCAAAAGAAATTTGAATGTGTCCAGGCTTTCCAGGATTGGTTACATTCATGTTTGGCTCCACGGTGAGTCTTTTCATGCACTTGAAAAGAAGCAGAATCCTTGAAAGCTTTCACACATTGCTTACACCCACAAGCTTTCACACTAGTGAATATATTAAAAATGGGGGGGGGACCAGAATGAGCCAAGGCTTTGACACACAGATGAAGGTCATAGTTTTCTATCCAGTGAGGATCCTTTCATGGACTTAAGAAGAGTAAGAATCCATGAAGACTTTCCCGTATTCCTTTCCACATTCTTACCATGCTGATTTTATTTTTTTGGACTTTCTCTCCAGTGTGAATTATTTCACAGACTTGATAAGGTCCACAATTCCTGAAAGCTTTTCTGTACTGCTTACATAAACAGACTTTCTCTAAATTGAGAATAGTTTCATGAACTTGAACCAAAAAACCTGAGTCTTCACATTCCTTACAGTTATAGAGATCCATCTATAACTGAGTTATAACTATTCATAACTAAGTTTTTTATTGAGTTCTAAAGGAACTAGAAGAGATGATATGAAAGAGATTCATGCTCCAGTTTGAGTCTTTTCATTGACTCAAAAAGAATTAAAATCCCTGAGGACTTTCCCACATAGTTTACATTTATAGGGTTGATCTCAGCTGTGAATCCTTCCATAGATTCTAAAAGTACTAGAAACCCTGAACACTTTCTGACATTCCTTATATTTATAGAGTTTCTCTCTAGAGTAAATATTTTCGCTAACTTTAAAAGAACTAGGGTCACTAAAGGAGTTCCCATGTTCTTGACATTCATACAGTTTCTCTCACTTATGAATCCTGTCATATCTTCTAATGGGCCTATAACATGTGAAAACTTCTCCATGCCATTTGCACTCATAGGGTTTCTCTCCTGTGTGAATCCTTTTATGGGCTTAAAAATGACCAGACTGTGCAAAGGCTTTTCCACACCCTATAAATTCATAGGTAAACTAATTCATTTAATCTTTCCAATGAGATCCTTCATGAACTTTCAAAGAACCAAGGTCACTGAAGAATTTCCCACGTTGTGCACAATGACACAGTTTCTCTCCAGTGTGAATCCTTTTATGACTTCCGGTGGTCCTAAAATGTGTGGAAGCTGGTCCATGTTTTTCACAGCAATATGGCTTCTCTGCAGTGGGAATCCTTTCCTGCATTAGAAATGAACTGTAACTAAAAATATCTCTTCCATGCATCTGACATAATGTCAGTATGTCTTGTGTGACTTTTAAGAGAATTGACTGATTCTGCACATTCATTAAAATGGTATGTGTTCTCTGCCCTGTGATTCCTTTCATGTCTTGGAAAGCAGTGGTGATAAGTGAAGCCTTTACCACATTGTTTATAGGTATATGATTTGTATTCATATTCTTGATTCTCATACTGTTTGTACCAGGTGTCAGTCACTATGCAGCTCTTAAGAGATGAGGGACACATGGAGAGTACTCCAGAAAACTTGCAATCATACGGTTTTACTCCAATGGGAATCTTCTTGCTAAGACTAAGATTAGAAATATGGGTAAAAATTTTCCAGAATACCAAACATTTTTACTTTCACAAGCTTTCTATACATTGCTATTCACAAATTAACCATGTATCCCATTTCATAAGGCAGCTTTCGTGTGCTTTGTAGTCCCACCTAGTCAGGAGGCTCAGGTGAGAGGGTCCCTTGAAGCAAAGAACTTGAGACCAGCCAGGAAAACATGAGATCCCATCTTACATTTTCTTTCCAGTTTTTACACCAAACTTACAAATTATTATCTTCTAACTTTTTTCTAAGAAATATCAAGCTTGTAAAGATTCCTGACATCAATCTCTATGAAATTTCTGCTGTGTGGGATCCAGCAGTGCCCATTCCTCCTGAGTGAAGTCTACAAACACATGCTCCAAGGCCACTGAGTCCTTTCCCAGCTTCCAGGGTGTTCTGGAAGCCTCCCCATAGTTCCCATGGTCAGTGAAGGTCACGGCTGAACTGTGAGAGGCACCCAGAGTTCTTATGGGTAGAGGGAGACACATTAGAAAAATCATTTGATCAGATGCTGACCTCCATGCAGTGTAATGAGATGAGCAGCACCCCACAATCCATTCTTAGAAAGCAACAGTAATTTTCCTTGTAGGAAAAGGCATATAGGGTAGCATCCTAAGAAATACAATCATGATTGAAAGAAGAAGGGAGAACTCTTGGCCTGATACCGGGCTTGAGTGAAAACTGAACACTTGACCATGGGCCACAAGATCACCATGGACCTGCATTGCTATCATGACCTGGGTACTATCTCATCCCCCAAGTCATATGGTTGGAGATGCACAGCAATAGTCTATCATTAAATGGAAGGGATATATGTGTGATTGACCCAGATCAATTCCAGAGGGTACAAGTAAGTTACATGAGGAAGTTGCCTAGATGCCTATGGCTCCTATGCCAGGTCTATTGCCTTCTGTTTCCCAGCATGCACCTATGGCCCCATGAGGTGGACCATAAGATCAGCTATCAGAGGAAGAGTAGGCTAGGACCTGGTTTACGAAGGCTCTGAATGTTATACTGGCACTACCCACACATGGACAGCTGCAGCATTATAGCCCCTTTCCACGACATCCCTGAAGGACAGTGGTGAAGGGAAATCATCACAATGGCCAGATTCGGGCAGTAAACCTGGTAGCATATTTTGCCTGAAAAGAGAAATGGCCAGATGTGTGACAGTGTATTGATTCATGGGCTGTAACCAATGATCTGGCCAAATGGTCAGGAACTAGAAAGGAGCATAACTGGAAAATTGGTGACAAAGATATTTAGGGAAGAGGTGTGTGGATAGACATCTCTATAAGGGCAAAAGCATGTAAAAATATTTGTTTTCCTTTGTGAATGCTCACCCCAGTGTGACCTCAGCAAAAGAAGACTTTAATAATCATGTGGATAAGATGACCTGTTCTGTGAATAGTGGCCCATCTCCTTCTTTAGCCACCCCTGTCATTGCCCATTGGGCTCATGAATAGAGTGGCCATGGTGGCAGGGTTGGCGGTTATACACAGACTCAGCAACATGGACTCCCACTCACCAAGGCTGATCTGGCTATAGCCACTGTTGAATGCACACTGTTCCAGCAGCAGAGGCCAACACTGGGTCCCCAACATGCCAGCATTCCCTGAGTTGACCAACTTGCCACCTGGTGGCAGGTTGACTATATTGGACAATTTTCATCATGGAAGTGACAGTATTTTGTCCTCACTGGCAAAGAGACATATTTTCAATATGGATTTGCCTTCTCAACACATAATACTTCTACCAAAACTACCATCTGTGGACTCATAGAATGCCTTTACCACCATCCTGGAATTCTGCAGAGCATTGCCACTGACCACCAAGGAATACATTTTACAGTCAAAGAAGTGAGGCAATGGTCTCAGACTCATGGAATTCAGTGGAACTGGAACCGGAATTCACCATGTTCCTCACAGCCAGAAGTAGCTAGATTAATAGAAAGTTTCAATTGTCTTTTGAAGACACAGTTACAGCACTAGCTAGGTGCCAATAGCTTGCAGGGCTAGGCCAAGGTTCTTCAAAAGGCTGTATATGGTTTGAATCAGCATGTACTACAAGGTACTGCATCTCCCACAGCTAGGATTCACAGGTCCAGGAATCCAGGGGTGGAAGTGGGAATGGAACCATTCAGCATTACCTCCAGTGATCCACTAGCAAAACTTTTGCTTCCTATTACTTCAACCTTATGTTCTGCTCACTTAGAAGATAGAGTCTTAGTTTCTGAAGGGGAAGGTTTATACCAGGAAGCACAATAATGATACCACTGAACTGCAAGCTAAGACTTCCCCATGATAATTTTGGTCTCACTATGCCTCTGAAAAAACAAGCTAAAAAAGGAGTCACAGTGTTGTCAGAGGTGATTGACCCAGACTATCAGCAGGAAATTGGACTACAACTCCACAGTGGAGGAAAAGAATATACTTGGAGTGCAGGAGGAGATAATGCCTCTTGGCATTATCATGCCCCATTATTAAAGTCAAGGGGAAACTACAAGACCCTAATCTAGGCAGAATGATAAATGGTGCAGACCCATCAGGAGTGAAAGTATGGATCACTCCACCAGGGAAAGAACCAATGCCTGCTGAGGTACTTGCTGAAGGCCGAGCCAATACAGAATGGGCACTAGAATAAGCTCATTCTAAATACCGGTTTCAAACCCATGATAGCTACGGAAATGAGGGTTGTCACTGAACTATTTCTCTCCAAATACCGGTTCTATGTTATAATGTTCAAGTTATCAAATGTTAGGAACAAGCATCACCCAGAGACAACTTGTCTTCTATTCTGGGGAGGGAATCAGTGCCTTTCTGTTGTACACAGGATAGTTCTAACATGTTAGGCATAATTATGAGCTTGTCTTTGCATCTGGATGCCAGATTAAAGAAATGTGCCTGGTTGCCAAGTTGACAAAGGGTGGATTGTGATGGTTTATGGATTACGTCAGTTTAGAAATTGGGTAAAGAGAAGCTTAACTAATTCCAGCCCCTTGGGCCTAGAAGACCTAACTAAGGGTGGCTCTTGCATGCCTCACCCTTGGGTGATTCTTGGCCTGGATGTTGGAAAAGGGAAGCGAGGAAGGACACTGCTGCTTCTGTTCCTTTGGAGGAGCCCCAGTCTTCACCTGGGAGGTCATCTCCTGCCTTCTAGGGGACTCTTCCACTTCCAGCCCACATCCAAAACCCCTCCAGTGTAGACTCTCAGTCTTCTACGGTAGACTCATCACCCTCTTCATATAAACTGCACTCACTTGGGGCACAGCAGTGAGCTCCAGATCTTCAACTAAATCCTCAGGTCTCCAGTGTGCAGCCAGACCCTCTGCACTCTTCCTCATCGGACTCAGCAGGTGTTCACTGTAAGTCAATTTTGTAAAGTCATATGTATTTGTATAGTTTGTGTTATAACTGTAAATTCTGACTGATAGGACATAAAAGGAGGGAAAGTTTGTTTTGGCTCATATGATCAGTTGACCCTGTTGTTTGGGGCATATGGTGATACAACTTGTGGCAGAGGAGGGCTGCTCAATTCATGGCACCTGGGAAGTGAGAGAAAGAGGACTGGCCAAGATCTCTGCCACTAGGACTGTATGATCCAGCAGATCGATGTCAGAGAGGTGACATTGTCCTGGGTATACAGTGCCCTCCCTGATCCATATGTTACCCTTTGTTGAAATTTTCAACTCTTCATTTTGAGCATTTGGGAGAATAAAAGCAAACTGAATTCCTGCTACCATGCCATTCATGATGTTCTCTCCTTTCTATACTTTCTTTTCCAGGTGGTAACAAAAATTAATCCAGATGGGGTGTAAGTGCTGTAAAATGATACAAAGGTAAAGTTGAACAAAGCCTTGATTCAAATGGAGGAATCTGTGCTTATTAAGTCACTTTCAAAGACCATGCATGTAACAGCAGTTCAAAATAATAAGAATATTATCAAAAACCTCTTACATACAAGTATGAAAATACCATGTTGAAATCCAATATGAGATAAAATTAACAGACATTAGCAATATATTAAAACAATAATCATAACCATGATGATAAAGGCCATGAAGGCATTCAGTGCATTTAGATGGCCTGGGTTTCAATCCACAGTGCTATTCATTGTGAATTTGGCATGATTTTGATCCCAGAGGACCTGCCTGTGTTCTAGATTTTTAAACTTTTCCTCACTGCCCAGAGCATGGGGCAATCGCTGTCATTCTCTGTGACTGGGTTCAGTTTGGATCAAATATCCATTTCTCCAAAGAGCTTTAAGAAAAGAAAAGCTTGGTTTTCAGATGATGCCTGAAATGGGATCTATGAAAATAAACACCCCAGGTACATATGTACCTTTGTTTTGTCTGTATTATATTTCAGAAAAATGTAATATGAATCCCAAAAGAAGGGAATGAAATTAACTGATAACCTTGCTTCCTTAACAAATACTCCACACATACACATATATGTTTTACTGTACCATGGTCATGTGATATTTGGCTCTATTCAGATATTATGCCGGGCATGCTGATGCATATCTGTCACAACAGCACTAAAGAGGATGAAACAGGAGAATTTCCATAAATTGAAGACCAGCCTGGACACATAGGAAGTTCGTGGCCAGGTGTATTGCATAATGAAACACTGTCTCAAAAAAACAAAATAAAGTAAAATATTGGTTAGAAGTATATTCAGTCCCCTATAACCATGGGTTCCGTAGTCATAGAACCAACCATAGACAGATCAAAAATATTCTGAAAGAAATTACATCTGCACTAAACACATAAGCACTTGTTTCTTTTTATTCCTCCCTAAACAATACACTGTGATAGGTATTTATGTACCATTTACATTGTATAAAATTTAAGTAATGTAGCACTGGATTATTGAAGCAGAAGTGAAAATGTACATAGGTCATATGCACATGCTGCTCCATTTTCTGTAGACAACTTGAGCATGTACAGATTTGGGTCTTGAAGGCCATATAGGCAGTTCCCCACACATAGTGAAGGAACAGCTGTTTTCTTTATGTTGCTACAGATTTCACACTTATTATTTAAGGACTTCACAATGTTGCATTGAAGTGATGTAGCTTCAGTACTTAACACTTGCTTTTCCTCTTAGAGGACAGCTGTTCCTCTTAGTTTTATTTTAAAATTTTGTGAAAAACCTTGTACTTTTCCATTTCCCTCCTTTTAGATCTCTTCTTAAGCTCTCTTTCTAGTAGTAGGACATTCTTATACCAAAAATGTCTCTGATTTAGACATAGGATTAAAAGCGTAATTCCAGGAGCTAGGGCACATGACTGTGGGCTTCTCCATCATGATGCAAAACTGACTGATTTTTGTTCCTCTCACCTGCAGCTACCTCTGTGACCCAGCTCAAGTACCGTCCCCCGATTATGTGAATGAAGTAAGCAGTTCCAAGTTGGATGAAGACCATACTGTTAAATTAAAAGGCCATCTGAGCAGCGAGGTTTTGGTGCATAACAATGCCCTGTCCAGTGAGGGCTTGAGGAGAACTGAGAGCAGAGGCAGAGAAGCTGGCCCACAGGAGCCCTGCAGGCCTCAACAAGGATCAGTCTCTCAGGAGGACATGGGACATGGACACTGTGCCAAGCCTGGAGGCACTGCCAATGGCATCGTGCCCAGAGCCTCTCCACAGTTCCTCAGGAATCCCCAACCCAGCTCTTGGGTCATCACTGCAGAAGACATTCACCCATCTCAGCCCTTCCTGGAAGGCAGGGATACCAGGAGCCAGGACTGTGTGCTTCCCTCCTTGGAAGAGACTCCAGCCATGGGAAAAGGAGACTGCAGAGCTCCTGCTGAGACAGAGAGTCCAGTCTTGGAAGAACAAGGCCACAGCTTCCTGTTGCCAATGCCGGATTACCCTCCACTGTGGGACCTGGCTGCAGACAGCCATGGGGAGGTGGGGGATGAGGATGAAGCGGTGGCAGAAGCCCTTGCAGCATTAGAAGCAGCTACTGCAGGAGAAGATGTGGATGAGGCAGATTAGCAGGCAGAAGTGCTGTGGCCAGTGAGCCAGTGCCATGCTGAGTAAGAGGAGAGGCCTGTGCTCCTTGGAATGCAAGCTGAGCATTGGCCAGCAAGCCCTAGTGTGGTTTAGGAGTTGTTTACATCCAGCATCTGTTCCTATTCTGGGTGCCTGAGCTGTGCTGCTTCTCCAACAGTTGTAGCCTCACTGCATCAATGGGCCCTCACTGCGGACAGGAGAATGAACATCAGAGTGAGCTGCTGTGCCCCTGTCCATGGAACATGCAGAAACTGAGCACCCTGCTTGCCAACTGTCACAGTCCTTGGAACATCTGGTACAGATGGCAAGAGAATGCTATCCTGTCCCCACTCCCAATCCCAAGGAAACACAATCACTGAGCATCTGGTTCAACTGTAAATCCTTTGCCTTGCTTGTGAGAGCCAAATTTTGTACCAAGCCTAGTAAAGGTAACTCCCCCTTCAAAGTGCCTACCATATTCAGGGAGACACCCAGGGAATTGATAGCTAACCACTTGTTGGACACCAGTTAGGTTGAGCAGCTTTCAGGAGGACTGGAAGTGAGCAGGAAACAAATGGTTAGTCCTTAGTGTGAAAGGAAAACACCTGGACCTTAATGTTTTTTACACTGTGACTTTTTAAAAATCTCCTTTGTGACTGGGGAGCTTGGGCAAAATCATTGTGAAAACTTCTTGTCTCATATTTGGGCATTAAATTCGTGAGTTTTAGGAACAGGAAAACCATATATGGATAGTTTTATGCCATTAAAAGTCTGATCCCAATTAAAATATACCATTTTCTTTGTCTCGGTATGACTCAGGTGGTTCTGACATAGCTCCTTGTAGAACTGAGAAGAGTTGAGATGGTCAAACTTGTAGAGAAAAAATATAAACATGCCAGGTATTTTAGTTTGCTGTTTTGTAACCTAGGCCCTGAAATTTCACTGACCTGCAGCAAATAATTCATCTTTTCTCATTGCCTATCTGTTAAGTGAAAGCCTAATAATATGTACTGTAAAGATTCACACACTTGCCTGGGACACAGTAGGCAACCAGAAATGATATCTTATGAATTAGATTTATAAAGATTTTTACAACCTCACAACTGAACACTATAATATGGTGAAGTATTTACACTGCTCTCGTTTCATTTCAGTACTTATTCAACAGTTATAAAACATGATTTCAAGTGTTCTAGCATCTTTAAGGATGGTGCTCTTACAGATGCTTAATAAAAAATTCACAGCCTGGAGTTGCTTGGTATTGCAATGACAAACCATCTCTATGTACCTAGTTTCTCAGAGCCCTTCAAATACAAACTATTGGCCTTATTTATTGCATTCCATGTGTATTTAAAATTGGACTTAGTATATCAGATGCGTAGGAATTCTGATTGTGTGTTACTTCCCACAGTTTCCCAAGTTCCTCAGCTGAGATTCTGTGCAGTCACATGTGCTGAATGGAAGTCTTTTCACCTCTAAGAGGAGCAATCCAGCTTAGGAGAGCAGACCTTGAATCTGTGACTTCCGTGCTCCTCCTGTCATGATAGCTTCCTTTTAGTTCCTCATGATTCAATTTGACCCATGCCTATGGCTCCCTCATTTGAAAATGAGGCTCAAACCCAGACGTTACATATGAGAAAAAGATGAAGGGTCAAAAATACTTTTCTCTTTAGGACTTTCCACGTGTATAATTCACACTTTCCACTTCCACTTCATTGGTCTACATCTGGGTATTTGGCCACATTAGCTGCAAAAAGAATTAAGAAAAGCCATCATTCTAGCTGGGGGTTTGACTTTCCCAAATTCATTTGAGATATATTTACAGAGAAGACCAAAGAAATGGATTTTGAGTGTTTATTGTTTTGGGGTTGTGTTTGTTTGTTTTGGGGGGGTTGAGGTGGTCCAACTTACACTCTACCACACCAGACTCTCAAGTCCCAAAGGCCTGGCATACAGCTGGTTTACAATAGGTTGAAAGTTTGTGTTCATATTGAGCATGACATAGAAGGAGATAAAGACTTCCATTCTAGGGAAGAAGGAATGGACACCTCCTGCCATCCCAGCTTCCTTCTGGTATCTCCAAAATGCACGGGAGAAGAATATTCAGATAAGGGGTATTGGTCCAAACAGAACATCCCTTTCCAGAAATACCCTTCTGCATGGCGCACACATACCATTTGACATTTGAGAGCTGCTGCAAAGTGCACATAACTGGCAGCTCTCTTAAGTGGCAAAGATTCTCTGTCAGGTAACTAACTGCTTCAAAAGGTTAAACAGCCAGCAAAAATCTTAATCTTTCTTAAACATATCTAACCCTTTTCATCTTTATTGCAATACTGAAGCTGCACCAGATGACCTCAGAGGAAAAGTCAGGATATTTCGTTGAAAAGAAATTCCAAATTGCAGCTTTATCTAGCAAGTAGTCTATGGCTGTCTGAGCATCCTGCTCTGTGTGGTGTCTTCTGTTGTAGCCTGGTGCCACCTCCTTCAGAAAGTGATGATGAACATAAATGAAGCTTTTCAGATATTCTGGACAATTATAGACACAAATGCATTCTGACTGGGAAGCACTAAGTATCATTAGGCCCAGACTTCACAATTCTCTACTCGTCCTGGCCAGTTACATGGCATGTTGTTTCTTGATTTTGATTTAAGATTATTTTATTTCTCTATTTTAAATGAAATAACATTTAAAAATACATATAAAATTCTCTTTTACAAGGGAATTTAAACTATCAAATAAATATGAAAGGAAGTGTTTTTCCTTGGTTGCCAAGGCAGAGAGTAGTGAATTGTTATACCTCACAAATCAGATGCATAAATGTGTGAGAAGTGGAGGTGTCTAACAGATGACATGCCCATTTTCCATGCTCAGTAAGAGTGGCCACTGGTCATTTCCCTTTCTACCCCACCCTACCTCTCTGCCTTTCTCGGTTCTCTACCTATCTCACCCATCGGTACCAACTCTTGCTCTTGACCTTAGGTTTAGGTTTCTTAACTTTTCTGAGCCTTAGTTTCCTCATGTGTAAACTGAAGATCCTTCCAATTTTCTAGCATTGACAGGAGTGCTTGCTAGACCAGCAGATTTCTGGACCTCACTTCTTTTTTTTTTTTAATTAATTCTATTGGTATATTTTAGGTATATTATATAATGACATACATCATTGGAAACTTGCACCTTTACATAATCTCCCTTGGTTCTTATGTTTTCCCACATTCTCCTGCTCTCCCTTCAACCCCTCCATCCCTCCCTATTTACAAAGATTTTGTTTGCATTTTTAAATTTTCTCATGTTAATTCCATTCTCTTCTTTCCTTTCCCCTACCCCTCCTACTTCCCCATCCCCTTTGCCCCTTTTCTTTCTATTTCACATTATCTATTATACCTTTTAGTCCTTATTTACACTTTCAGTTTCTCACACCAGAGAAACTATT